CCTGAAATAATCATAGTTTTTTAAAATTAATCGATATATATATATATAAGAGAATTTGAATAAAGGCTTTAGAGATACGTGATAAGATAAAGAATTTAACTAATAAGTTGTAATCAGGATGTGCACATTGGAATTAAGGAAAATGTCATACTACATAAGAGTTCGAAAAAAAAGTAGAATAGTTATAAAGACCTGAAAATAAATTAACTTGGTAGAAATCAATAAAGTGGTCACCATGATAATAGTATAAATAGTTAAATTATTTTCTTCCGTTTGGAGAGCTCCAGTTTCTCTGTCCGAATGACTACAGCTTTGACAATACAAAGTAGATGAAAGCGTGTTGTCTTTTGTAAGTTGTTCTTTATTCTATAGATTACTTTGAAGGAGGAGTTTGTTGAACGGGAATGCCCAGTGCCACTAAGGTCTTCAATCATTAACCCCCCTTTTATAGAGTCACTTTTATCTTTCTGCAACTATGCAGGATAGTGTTCTTGTACCCTTTAAAAAAAAATGCGTGTCAAACAACCAGTATACCTAGCTCCACAGGAATAAATGAACTCATATATGTCCATACGTAAATCTCTTCGTATAACTTTAGTATTTAGTTGGACGATTTCATCATGAGCTGACATCAGTTAGAGAACCATTGGAAAACAAACTGGGAGTATTGGATAGCTGATATTTCTTTCAAAGTCTTACGTAATATCATATTCACCTTCATTCCAATATGTACGTCCTGATTACAACTTATTCGTTAGAAATTATTTACCCTAGTACATAACTCTATCACCTTTATCCAACTCCTCTTATCTATTCATTAATAATAGCCACTATGATCATGAAAATTTATCACTTCAGTCACCATTCTATTTTGTGAAGAAAGAGTTGTATATGAATGCGATTGCACAGCTAAAGGGAAATGAATTCACTCGGAAAGAGCCTCTTTTCTGAACTACTACTACCACTACTTGTTTTGTTAGTATTCATTGATGCATCGATAGGGATTATTCATGGATTAAATAATTTAATAAATTTAATATTGTTACAAAAGAAAAAGTTGATCTCCACTTCGAAAATATTCAATCATTCGGTAAGTCAGTCAGCTGATCAGTTTCTATTTTTTACTTCCTTTTACAACATAAACAAATTTACACTTCCTTAAATTCTTTTTTGTTTTTTTTTGCTTTTTGTTTATTTTACTATTTTGTTTTGTTCTGTACGATCTTTGAATGGATTTATCAATAGCTTCCTGAAATATCTTCGGTTAGTTTGTTAGTATTTGAAGGAATGGGTATAGGTATGGTTCAAATTTCACTATCGAGATATACACACACACACTCCTGAATTGAAACTTATCAGTATATCTTGTACCTATCTAAGCTATTCGAAAGCATAGGACGTGTGAACTAGAATTCGGACAAACCGTACCACTGTGGGATACCATCATTCCTAACAAGCACACATAGACTGGTATAGTTTCAACCATTTATGGTATCAGGCAAATCACATACTATGTATGATCTGAATGACACGGATTTCTTTCCTAAGGCGACTGTTTCACACTTTTAACTCAAACTGTGTGATTTGCGTATCGCTAATGTGAATGAAGTCCTTCTGCGACTCAATGGTAGAATGCTCACTAGGTAAGTATATGGCCTGGATTCAACTCCTGACCGACGATCTTCTAATCCTCATCTAGTTCGTCTAAACTGGTAGGTGGAGAACTGGAGTGGTTTGAACTGCTAAGACCTATATGAGAGATCCCTATCCATGTACAGTATGGATGAACTCGAGAATTAGTCGGTGAAACAGTTGTCCACAGAGCTTAGATCACTTCGATCTGACTAGTAACCATTACTACTAGTTGACGTCGATGATCTTCAACTACTCATTTCAATCAGTAGTATATTCTACCTTGAAGTGGATCGATACAATTAAACAATTTCACTATATTTTCTAGATTTACATCTATAAAAATATTGATACAATTGAGAACAAAACGAAACAAAATAAATTTCTATTGCTCTAGTTATTGCAGTAGTACTTTGTATTATTATTGTCCTTAGCGTAAGTGTAAAACTTAAACACTGTGATAGAATGTAATTCCATATTAGGTAAGTTTATTTTAATGATCACCCAGTGATGCAGTATTAACAACTGGATGAAGTTTCGAACATACATTATTGTTAATCCTAATCATATCAATTTAATCACACAGCTTCACAATGCCTTTTATACACTTGATCTCTTCCTCTCTCTCTCTCTCCATCTTCCCCTTGTTTGTTGTTGTCACTCTCCATATCTTCGAACAAAGTACAGACCTTCATTAATAGCTGCTTTCGTTCAATACTCAAGATAAGATGGCTGACCGGAAAAGATCAGCAACAGAGGGATCTCTGGGAGCTAAACAACCCAGCAGGAACCGATTGTGAAACAAATATGCAGGGACAAATGGAGGTGGATTGGCCATAATCTGAGAAAACCATCAAATGACATCATACGACAGGCTTTCGAGTGGAACCCGAACGGGAAGAGGCAAGTAGGTCGCCAGTGCAAGGGTGACATGGAGAAGGTCATGTGAAGAGGAGATGAAAGCATTTGAGCAAACATGGAGTCACGTGAAAACATTGGCGATGGGGACGTGCGGCTGAAGCCTTTTATTCCTCTAGGAACTAAAGGAGACGATAATGATAATATCTCCGGTATAGGCGTTGTGACAATCTGATTACACGTGTGAGGTGTTGAATCGAAAAAGAAAGTTTCAGTGGTTAACCACCCTGTGTCTCCACCTAACTGTGTTGCTTCTCAATACTCTTAACCCGTCGTAGTCACCCTAATTTGTAACTTCATACAAGTGAGCTCTGCTGTTTAGGTCATTTAACTTAGCAGAGTCAATCATTCTAGGCCTGGATAAGCTTTTGTGTCCCGATACTCTAGTTGAAACCGATCTACTAGTTTGACTGACCTAAGGTAGTTGACATCATAGCGATTACATGGTATTTGGTAAATATTATTTTTCTTGATTGGATCTATTGAGTCCTTAAGCAGAAAAAGTTTGTCTCTGAGAGAGATAAGGAAAATAATATAATTTACCAAATACCATGTAATCCCTATGAGATGACACTAGTAGATCGAGATCAGTTTAGTTATCAGAACACAGTAATTTAGCCATTGCTAGAATAATTAAACCCGGCTAAGTTAAATAATCTAGAAAAAAGCTTGACCACTCGAGTGCATTCACTTGCGTGTAATCACACAGTGGAGTGGAACGGATAAAAATGCAGTAGAAAGTAATAAAGCTAGACAGAAAGAAAGTTTTGTCACTGAAGCTTTGTTTATCAAGTCAACACTAATCATAAGCACAAAACAAATCACACCGTTGTGTGTTCTACTGACAAGATTTATCAGTAGTATATAGGGGCAGGTTTATAGGAAGCAGCCAAAATTGAAAACAACATTTTCAGTCTATACCTGAAGAGGTAGGAGTAAGTATACCCTAAATCTGGATTAAGCTTACTCTATGGTCAGGAAATAATCTCACTGGACAAACTTTAGTCTCAAGGTTCAGCCAATCAGAACAGTTCGTTGTCCGCTAACCCAGCCTACATGTAATGTGCTTAAAAATGTATAAATATGGCGTTTTTCCTTAATAAATAGAAAGTCCGTTACCAAATCTCTTATCTTTTCCCGTGACAACACAACACCAAAATAAGAAATATATGGAGAATTATGTTTTAAAAAACCCAGAGGAATTGAAGCTATAGTAAAGCAAGTTAAGCAGTTATGTGAATACATTGATAAGGTTATGTGAGAAATAAATTGTGCTTGAAACATTATCCAGTTATAAATAAGAAATTTATGAAACTCAGTTGAACATTGTGCCTAACTTTATTGTTGACAGTTAGAAGTATTCAGTGAGAGAGACAGAAAATCCTTTTTCCCGTTTAGCTTCCACTTTCTCTTGATTATTCACCAGTAACCTTTATGAACTTATGGTGTTGCGTATGTGTATGCAGTATGTGTGATTCCAACTACTTAAAAGAAAGTCACCCAACTAAGAACGGTGAAAATAATTAGATAGCTGGTTCTTCGTATGTATACTTATCCTTATGTTTCTTTTGACTAGAACTTAATCCACTATTGCACTAAAGGTATGCAAAAGTTTAAAGAAATTTGATATATGTGTAGACACAGACATTACGCAATAAAGAATTGAACTAAAAAGGCGAAATTCTGTCGATAACTTCAGTAAAACAAATACAAATAAACAAATCAAAATGATACTTCATCAGAAAAGAAGGAATCGGTTGTGATATAGCTGTTATGAATGGTTCGACGATTTCATCATGAGCTGACTGGCATCAGTTTGAGAACCATTGGAAAGCCTGCAGGGAGTACTGGACAGTTGTTTCGTCAGCTTAGCTTGGGACTCTTCATCAGTACGCGCCCACCACAGGGGGTTCGAACCCAGGACCTTCTGCTTACAACGCTAGCGAGCTCGTAGAACGTTAAGCCACTAGAACACGATCCAACGGCCAATGAAATCTAACTTCTACCAATTCACGACATAGCGCGACCACTTCACAATATCTTCTTCAATAAGTTACTGTCTCACTGGACAAGCTGTTTCATCTTCATTTGAGACTGTTCAGGAGTGCATAGTCATGACCCCACACAGATGAATCAAACCCAGTAATCTTAAAGTAACGAGACCAGCACGTTGACAATTCAACCACACTGTTGAAATCCAATGACCCATGAGTTCTTATTTCTGTTAATTCACGGTAGAACGCTATTAATTAGCTCGACATTGATATTCACCTAGTAGATCCAAGGTTCTATCCCCAACAAGTGACCAATTGAGCATATTCCGGAAGATACCCAAGCTAGGAACAAATAGTTGTGCAATACATAAAAATCTGAAATTTATATATATATATATATATATATATATATATATATATATATATATATATACAAAAAGGATCATGAAAACTTACTTCTCCGGATAAGGTACTGTAAGTCCAGCAATTGAAGGATTTTTACAACCCAAAATGAAAAATGAGCATATACAAGCCAATATAATTAAATTTACAACAAGGACGAACCGGATAGCGCCTATTAAGAAAGCGAATAAGAGAAATTAAAAACAGATTACTTTAAAAATTATGATACAAAAATTTAGTAATAATAAGTGCCTCATGCCCAACCTTTCCGCTTTACCAGCATTGTTTCTGGCTTAGAGAGCTAAAGGAGTGCGTCGACCGGGGATCGAACCCCGGACCATGTGCATGGTCGGCGAGCGTCCTAACCGCTGTGCCACCGACACACTTTCCATACACACAAAGGAGCAGAAAAACGAAAAATTGTTATTCAGTAGCTACTTGCATTCCCATACAGTTGGTAATGAAACCGCATATATTTCATGAAGCCTACAGATATTACCTAGATGTCCAAACCTCAGTAGATGAAGAAGCGAGCACAACTCGAACCTGTGGCTCAGTGGTTGTAAAAGCAAACAGCTTAAACCAACAGGCATTTGACTCGTAAGTATTACTCTTCATCTATCAAAAGTAGTTTTTAATTTGAAACAATAACATTACATGAATACAGAAACTAAAGACGGTGAATAGTGTTTGGGATTCGTGTTAATAGAACAAAAAAGTGATGGAAATGGTTGACTAGTGCTGCCCCATACTTTAGTTAAATAAGAAAACAAACAATGCTTCATCAAGTAACATGAATCAATATCAATTATAACAACAAAACTCCGAAACTTCCGTTTTTCAGTTTTCTTATTCTTTTCTATTCGTCGTAAGAGTAGTAGAAGTTCCCAGATTTCTGGGACATGTTAAATCATTTCTATGCTTGCGATAGAAATGATTTAACACCCGCCTACCCAAACATATAGAAAATTCTACTACTCCTAAAACGAGTAAGAAGAAATAAAGAAAGCTATAAAACGGAAGTTTCGGAGTTTTGTTGTTATAACTGACATGATTATGAATAATAATTGTGATTGAAACGTCCTCCAATAAATAATAAGGTTTCTCTGGGTGATACATCTAATAAACAAATTAATATGAGATTACGTATTACCACAATGCCAAAGTTTTGCACATATATTAAAACGAACTTTGCACAAAAGTTCACCGTTTCAAGTTGCCACACTACAAAAAGTACAAGACAATATAAAGTGCGAAGGTATTATAAACGGAAACGTACGGTAAAACTGCCGTATTCAGCCATAAACGAAATAAGATGTAACCACGTAGTTGTATCAGTCCCATGTTAGATAGTATATTAGGCCCAGTAATATTGAGGTTAGGCTTCCGTCGAGTGTTAGGTCAAAAGTGAAAATCAACCGATGAGTTTGTGAAGCTATACCGATTGAAATGGCAAGCTACGACATACATGACGTATGCCTAGTTATCGTCTTCCTCGATGGGTAATGTTAGCTGACATAGGATGGATCGGGTGGGAAAAGAACCAGTGGTGTTCAAACTAAAACATAGCTTCATCAGTCAATGGAATTCACGACAGTTAATTTCAACCAGCCAGCCAACCATGTAGGGAGGTGTAGACTTTCTGACTGGTGGTAAGGACCGATGGAGGCTGGAGACGGACAATTGGTGAAATGGCTCAAAATCGTCCTCAATGGCTGGCGGCAGATGCATTCACTCTTTGTGATTTATCATATCCAATAAAACTCTATTGTTCTGCCATATCACTATTCTATTTGTCTCATATTTCTGTTTGTTATCTCTGTTTTGAATCTCTCTTTACTGCCTTCGTTTGCTTTGTGTACTACATGGAGTCTGGCAACCCGAACTGCTACACATCTACACAATGTTCTATGTTAAAACCAGTCAGTCAATTAACAGTGAGGAGGATTTTTTTTGACAAGTCATTTTCATGGGACATTGTACAATTGTACTGATATTTAACAAGGAATTCATAGAACCAACCAGATACCAATAACCATTTTCTAGAGAAAGTATTACGTAATGTTAGGTGTAATCAAGAATGGGATAACTAAGTGAGATTAGAAAAAAGACGGGAATCTGAATAATGTTATAAGCCTGAAAAATGACTCATCAGTCTAAATGGAAAAAATGGGCTAATGGTAATTCACAGTTAAGTGTTTACATGAAACTTGTATGGGAAACGCAAAATTACTAACAAGCAATGACTAATAGTAATAATTATAAAATAAATAATTAACAATAAACCAGAACAATAAAATGAAACGAAATTATAACAAGAATGCTACACTAACTACGCACGGCAAGATGATTGAATGTAATGCTTTTGCACGCAGAGTTTCGGTCTCAGCCGTCGAATAGCCAATGATTCGGTTATGTATAAATAGTGTATTCGAAGTGTTTTCGTGAAGTTTTGGGGAACTTCTATGAAGCAATTTGATATGTATCCACATATATATTTATGTGTGTGTGTATGTTGGTCTCTCTTTCTGTTTGCTCGCTTAGTCTGTGACCATTTCACTTGTATGAACCTGTCTCCTTTAACAATGTATATTCCCCTTATATTATATATAATATGAGTGTTTGTTGACAGTCCGTTGCTTGGTGACATATATCCATATTATATGTGTGGTTGTTGACATGTCTGCTATATTTCGCTATGTATATATGGACCGATACTTCATTATAATTAGCCATTCATGCTAAGACTGTCTAATGACTGTTCACACCTTTGTCTGAACATTCATATATATATATATATATATATATTTCGCATTCACAATTTGTGTGACTTATACTTACTTACTTACTTTGGTGTGATACCCCTTATTGCGTCTCCTTGTGTTTGGAAAATAGAAGTATCATCGCAACCTAGTGGTCTTCTGATTTCCGCCTTCTTGCGTCAGGACTATTAGTTTCTCGACCAGTCCATAACAATAATTTAGCGACGAGTACATAACACAATTATGCAAGGGTGTACCCGGTGTACTAGAAATAGAATAATGAGGATTTAACAGGTCTAGAAGATGACAAACAATAAATACTTCTGGACCGTTAAGAGCAGAGTTTCAATCAGCGTCACTTAAAGTTTTCAATCACTAAGTCTTAGAAACTCCAGGACCCCAACCAGACAGTCTACATCCCTACCCACCCCCACCAATAGTCAATTACATCATGGATTAATGACATAGTTTTGGTTTTATCACCCTTCTTCAGTCGATAGACATACTAACGTTAATTGATCAACTTCAAACTGTTATATTTTCATCTATCATCATTTATACACAAGAAGTTCGTCTTAAATATTCTCAGGAATCTTCATTCATTTTCTAATTTGTGTGTGTATGTCTGTCCGTATCTGGAGTATGCTTACTAATTCCATTTATTACTTTTTTCACAACACACACACAAACACAAGTACACAGTAGTAAGTAGGGAAATGTAATAAATGCATTATAATATAGTATGTGATAGGTTAACACAGATGGTTGTGTTTCAAAGAAAAGACGATATTGTTTGAAATTTTAATAAAATTAAAAAAAGAAACTCCATCTTGGCATGTAACTAAATCTTTTTCTTGTCTATTTGGCGAAAAACAAACTAAAAGATGATTCCAATGATTGAGGCTTTAGTAACATTTACTAATCAATAGTTCTGTATAAGCTTTATTATATTCTTAAGGTATTGAGGATTTATCCCACAATATGAATCTAAGTACCCGTGTTTTAAGTGGTGTTTAGTGTCTTGCCAACTATGCAACTTGTGCGACTGTCGATTCCCGACTGCCAAAAACACCTAAACCTCGCCTACTTCACTAGCCAGTGGAAAACCTGTGAAAGAGGAAAAATTCGACGTGAGGTTAGTAATCTCATCCCGTAAAAACAACACCACCGATTCTGAAACTTCAGAGGCGTGAAGTCCTATGTGCCACTCAAGACTCTCATGGAATAGAAAGTATGGGAAAATGTGAAGAGCGCCTATAGACTATAATGTAAAATACCTACAACGATAGGTCATAAGTATAACGTCTTGCTTGAAGAAGCAAAGCAGCTGACGAAACTCATGGGCTTGAATAGCTGACTATTAATGTTTGTGACTGGTTGACATAACAGATACTCATCTCGCTCATGACCACCGATAAGAATGAAATCGAGGTCAAGAGCTTCCTGTTAAATCATTTGCAATCATGTAACATCACTTCTAAGAAAACAGTATTCCCCAATCAGTTAAATAGATAAAAATCAGTTACAAGTTTGATCAACCGATTGATATCAGTTAGAGAACCATTGAAAATCTGAGAGTACTGGACAGCTGTTTCATCCCAGATTGAGACTCTTCATCGGTACACAACCACCAAGGTTCGATCACAGGACCTTTTAGTCACACGGCAAACCAACCACTGGGATTCGATTCAATGACCTGTGAATTCCAACTTCTACCGATCAAACCAGAAACAAATCAAACCCCTACAAACTAACTATTGAAAACTCATCTACTTGGAAAACACTTTTTACAAAATATATCATGTGATAAGCAGAAGTAGTTGCCAGATCATTTAGATCTAGTTAGCAAGTCCAACTGATTAACGTGAATGGTTAGGGTGAATATACACGATCATGCTGATTATATTCATCAGATGATCTGAAAATAACCTGGCCCCACTAACATATGTTTATACATCAATGAATCAGTTATATTACTTCTCTTAAAATGTAAACACTCCACACAAAAAGTCTAATGTTGTCAATTTTATTAGTGAAAGCGGTCCAGTAGTGGTGGGTGACAAATGTACTAAACATTCCAATGACAGCCGAAAACACTCACACACACACACATATGCACACATAAATACAGACACACGTGAGTATATACCAATGCACATACAAACAAACATGCATTGCGCACAGGGTATTGAACAAAAAAAAGAACTAACCAAGAGAAACTTCAGATTAACAGAAAGACAGGGAAAAATCTAACCAAACTAAATGAAAATCTCACTAGATGATAGACTGACGATGATAATGAGAATGATGAGAGAGCAATGAAGAAGAAGAAGTAAACTGACGAAAACAGACAAAGAAACTAGAGGATAAGGAAATCATTTATGTTATACAAAATGTACCATATCTTTTTTAGCATGTATTCTCGATTTTTATGTCTTATCAGCCTGCCAAAATATGCATCAATGAAGAAAAAACAATCGGGAGGAAACAGTACTAATCACGGAATAAAAAGATGACTTGAGGTAGAAAGTACTACAAGCCAAAAAGAATGCAGGCAATGATAAGGTGCTAGCTAACTAGTGATGCACATTATACATACTTGAGAGTATAAATTAATTACAAAATTTGGAGTAATTTGGTGGATGTTGACCAGCAGTGGAATCCAGAACGTGAATTTCGTCCCATTAGGGACTTTTCATTTGCATATACCTGTATTTTCCAATGAGTGATGGAGTTTCCACTGGGGCTAGAATCCAGTTCCTATAGTTTCAAAGACCAAAGCGTTATCCACTAGACCATTTGGGTCACGAGAGCCACCTGTTGTGCAACGGGTATCAGTTATTATATAATAATTTTCGATAGGACGAAATGAGCATCTTGGATTCCACTGTTAGTCACCACCCTCCAAATTACTTAAAGCTATATCCTCAGACATCGCCAAAGCATCCGCACAAAGAGCCGACATGTCAACAGAGGTTGAATACTTCGGTCCAATCAATCAACGGGAAAGTCCAAATCGGATTAAATAATTATAAAATTGACTGATTTACTGTGTTTTGAAAAAAAATATATTTGATTCTATATTCCATTATAGTCTAGACTGATAACTGTAATTCTATACATTGGTGAATGTAAAAACAACATCCCTACTGTTGACCTAAGCCGCATAAGGTGGTGAAGAGACTGTCTGGTTGGCGTGTTGTCAGAATGCTACGAATCAGCAATTGAAGACTGTAATTCTAAATGGACTAAAACTGGTGACAGTAATGCAGATGGATTCCCATTCGTAAACTATCACGCTTCTCCTCAGAAATCTCCTCACACTCCCATTGCAGCTTAATTATATTTCTTCCTTGCAATTTTATGTGTAGTAACTTAAACTGATACTCTAACTTTTCACACAATTCCACCTCATTCAGTGAATCAATAAGTCACACAAAAGCGAACTGTTGTAGAATTCACTCAGCATTAACACCAACGGTATGACATTGTTAACGCTCTTGTGACCAATCAATATATCCAATACAACCGTAGAGGAGGTCAATTGTGAGGTCAAATAGTTCTATGCTAACGAGTCTGACTGCGCATTATTAGCTGATACGAGTTGAAATATCTAAGGGGATATCAAATCCTTCAAGTTTTCCGATGAGGGGGCATAAGCACGAAATGTACGTCAAGGACCTCCTGCTGACTGCTTCTAATCTAATCTTAAGTCCCTCCCCTAACCAACCTCCTCTACAACCAGTGTTAGTTGACATGGAATTAGGTCGGAAAAGAGTTGGTAGTGGTCGAATCAAAGCACGATATCAGTCCATGAGGTCTTTGACTGGGAGGTTTGAGACACGTAGGAAAATGAAGGTTACCTGACTGGAGTCCTCAATACGCTAAAAAAACGAAAGCTAGGGATTGTTGGAGACAGCTCAAAACTGCCTAGTTGGAGTTCTCGGGATGCTAAGAACCGATGGCTTGTGACTGTTGCTGATACAGCTCGAAACCTTTTTAATGGAGGAGATGCATTTACTATTGGTAATCTCCTAAACCCATTAGGTCTTCTTATTTTTCAATGTTACTATTCTTCCTCGCATACCTTTACAGTTCCTTCAAATTTTCTTCTTTTTCTCTACCTTTATGCGCTACATGGACTGTATCAACTTGAACTGCTACACTTTTGTGCACAGTTATGAGTCGAAACTCAGTTAGTCAGTCAACCGAGGGGTAATCTGCTTGACCCTCAAGAAAGCAAACACAATTATAAGTAAGAATAAACTACTAATTGACATGAATATTTGGAAACCTTTTACATCAACCAGTAGTACTTGGTAGTCACCCACATGGAAGTGATCTAAACACACCAGAAGGAGGCTGAGCTCGTCACAAGTGTACCGCGTTTGACTCACCTGAGAGAGCCTAATCATCATCACCATCAGTTGAAAACACGCATATACAATAAGTAAAAAATGATGACAACGTTTCAAACTACTGTGTATGTATGTATGCATGCATGTATGTATGTATGTATGTATGTATGTATGCATGTATGTAACAACACTGTAACATCTTTTCACATTGAATACATCATTGAAAACTCATCATAAAAATTCAACTAGTACACATGTATTAAGTCACTTGGGTGATAAACAAATTATCTTATGCTAATTTGTTCATATGATGCCAAAAAATGGTTATGTTGTCTATTTTGCAAATAAAATCGTTAAGTTGTAACGTTAGATTAGTATTGTATACAACCATTGGGATAGCAGTTGTTATAACTAATAAAACAGTATATAATGGTGAGACTGTCTGAGGCAGTCTCTTTCCAAGTGTTGGGTTGTAGGGATTTGATTGGTTACAGGATTTCATCATGAGCTGACATTAGTTGGAAAACCATTGGAAAACCTGGGAGTACTGGACAGCTGTTTCGTCCTAATTTGAGACTCTTCAGCAGTTCACAAACATCGGGATTCGAACCCAGGACCTTCTGGTCACAAGGCGAGCTCGTATACCATTAAGCCACCGGGACTCTATCCAATGGCCAGTGCATTAATTCTAACTTCTGCCAATTCACGACATAGCGCGACCGCTAGCCAATGTCTTCGGCGAGTATTTGTCCTCACACCCGACCTGTTGCAGTCTCTTTTGTTGTTATCTCTCATGTCACCTATGACTTTAAATGTTGTTTTCCAGGATTCCAACTGATTTCACAGACTGACTTAATCTAGCGAATCACTGAAAAAACTAGAGAGGAGTACTGCACAACGCTTTCGTCCTAGTTCCGGACACCTCAGTAACACGCACCCATGACTCCATCGAGGATCGCACCCAAGACCTTCAGGTTTTAACAGCAGCTCGTTGACTATCCAGCCACTGAAATGCAATCCAGTTGAACATTTATGTAATTGGATAACAGCAAGATTCGAAACACCAGCTTCTGAAAAACTACTCCAGCAACTAACTGGTTAATATTCTGGTGCAGACAATATTTTCATTTACTCTTCAGTCATCTCCGGTAGACCATAAACAGTAAATTTTCATAGAATGCAAAATACCATTTCGATCATAATACATATGTAACACATAGTTCTATCTAAAGATTATAACCTCTAGCTAACGACAGGATAGCCGTTTGCAAAGTTCACCAACCATAACCGATACGACTTTTTTCAAAAACATCCGGTTTTGATTTGATGTATGCCAAGATCTGTTATATTAGCTGAGACTTAGACCCAGAGTAAGACCATGTTCTGAATGGTAGAAATAAAGACCCAAGACTACAGACCATCTGATTTCCCCAAGGTATTAATGCCTCCCCCCCCCCCCCACTTACTACTTACATCAACCACAAGTATAATATTCGAATGTGTTAAAAATACCACACACACACACACACACACACACACAAAGCTATCGGAAAGAGCTGATACGTTTAAATCCCATGAAAGAAGGAACATACAAACATATTGATACCATTCTGAGATAATAAAAAAGATTTGTAGCTCAGGTGGTTTTTTTGTTGGTGTGGTTATATTCTCTGAAATGGGTGGTCTCATTATGAAACTATTGATTGTCTGTCTAGACAACATCTTCAATGTGAAGTAAATGCTGAAGATGTTATTTCGAAAGAACAGAGTGAAAGCTTTGCACGTTAACCATCCAAATCAGATAAAACAATCATCATACTAAAAAAGATGTTTCTATATATGAACACAACCTACACTTTGTATTGAATCAGATCTATTATTTGGGGTTTAGTGATGCTATCTGGCTGGCCAAACTTCGGTAGGTGGAATGAAGTTGGAACCCATGACTCACTGTTTGCAAGTCGACCATGTAGACCAATGAGTCATAGATCTCCAAATGTCTACACATATGAAAGAATTGTCTTTTAGAATTCAGTTAACGTGGAACTACCCAGATGTGCATGTTTAAATTATTAGAGCAGAGTTCGAACTAGACACCTCTTGCTTGAAAGCTAATTACTTAGGCCAATAAGCCATATTTTCACATACACATAAATAGAATTGTATAACTACTGTATACCTCAAAAATCAAAAGTAACACATTTAAAATAAGAAAGAATAACTTACCGATACGACGAAACTGAAATCTATTAAGTATAAGGCCACCGACTAAAATACCGAATGCACCACAGGGTACAATAAGACCGCCTAGGGAGAAAGGAATGAAACAAAACATGTAATCACAACTTTTTTAATACACCTGTGAATACATATATACACATATATCTTTATTATTAAACATTTGGTGGGAAACCACCCCAGATAAGTAATTTTAATAGAAATGCTAAAATCACCAAGTGTTGATGAAGACTTCTAGTCGGATAATCAAACGTTCTATGTTAACTAAAAGACTCAACGGCCTTCTTATATCACTGAGTTGCCTAACTTTCCATCCAATAAAGTGTATCTTATTTTCTCTATTTCATGTTGTTTTAGTTATTCAATTACATCTCTGAATGGCGGCCTGAACTCACGCAAATTTTAAAAAAAGGATTCATAGCAGGTGATTAGAGTGTGCTTTAGATAGAAAACTATTGCTTTAGATGATATATAACCTGTTATCAATTAACTTGAAGATTGTGAATCCGGAGTAAATACTTCGCGAAAGAACAAGCTGAGAATTCTGCAATATATATATATATATATATATATATATATATATATTAAAGCATTCTTCAGAATAAAGTTGTCATGATCAACATTATCCCGATATTCAATAGAAAACCTCTATTGCTACAGAACAAAAGTTATTGTATCAGAAAGTCCACTCCGTCCTCCTTTATAGCTGTGAGACCTGACCATTGAGGGTGGAAGACATGAAAAGATTAGCTGTCTTTGATCATAGGTGCCTGCGCACTATCTCCCGTGTGAAGTGGTATAATAGGGTGAGCAATATTCAGGTTAGGCCTCAGTTGAGTGCTAGGTAGGTGGGAGGCGAATTCAATCAACGAGGCTGTGAGGCTACATCGACTCAGATGGTTAGGACATGTGTTACGTGTGCCTTCCTCGACGGGCAATCCTAGCTGATATAGGGTCAGGATGGAAAAGAGTTAGCGTCAGTCAAACCAAAACATGGAACCAGTCAATGAAATCCACAACAGTTAGTTTGAGCCAACCACGTAGGAAGGTGTAGACTTCCTGACTGGTTGGGGTCCTCGAGACGGTAAAAACCAATGATTGGAAACAATTAGTGAAATGGCTCAAAATCGTTCTCAATGGCCGGCGCAGATCCATCCACTCCCTGTGACTTATTTCCAATGAAACTATATTGTTCTTCGTCATAACTATTCCTTTGCCTCACACCTCTGTTTACTGTCTCTATTATGCATTTCTTCTATTTTCTTCTCCTGCTTTGTGTGCTACCTGAAGGGAGTGTGGAGACTTGAACTACCACACATATGTGCAAAGTTCTATGTCGAAAACAGACAGACAGTATCAGAAAGTAGTATTACACACAGGATGTTAAAAAAATAAGTGATTCACTGAAAAGCAAATACAAGAGTAACAATAATAGTAATGGAAAGTAACATATTTATGTAAGGTTAGAGGGAGAGAGAGGTTAATTACTTAACCGCCCTTCATCGAGTCAACACCAAACGACATGTAACGAAACACCTGTCCCGTATATATATATATATATGCAATAAAATAAAAGGAGGGAGTAAAGCCATATAAAGTAGGTTAAGGAGTCGTATGGACACCTTGATATGAACGCCAGCTTGAAACATTATTCAGATATTAACCCTATGTTGCATAAAATAAACTTATCTAGTATGGAAGTAGGGTAAATCATTGGAGCAGACACAGAAAATGGATATCAAGACAATGGAAGCATACAAAAGATAACATGAGATGTTGAAGCATTCAGATAAAACAAATATATACACACATGTTTGTATTCATGTTGTAATCTATTTCCAGTTAGGTAACCAAGAATCGTCATCTATTATAACCTACAGAAACTAAAGTATCCACACCAGTAAGTTGAAGCATTAACGACAGTTAATAAAGCATTAATGGTTAGAAATCAGCTACCAGGTAACCGGCTACGAGTCACACTTATTGTGTGAGGGTAGACGATACTACCCAGTAGAAACCGACCTCCATTGACTGGAAAACAAGTGATAAAGCTAACAAGCCACATCTCCATCAAAACTAAGAGCTCTTAACTTTTCTGAAACAGGATGATCCTACTCTATGATTGATGTGAATAGTTGCAAATCTCTCAAGTCAATCAGTAGATCGAAATAATCTCAACACTGGAAAGCTGTACCACTCATTTGAGGCTGGGCTCTTGAGCACACCTGTACTCGGTTTTCCTCAATTCAAACAGTCGAGTCGGTTCAAACTGCCTGAATAGTATTTCAATGAATTATAGATTTTCCTGTTGATCGATTGGACCGAAGTGCTCGGTCTCGGGAAAATCTAGAGTTCAATTAAATAATTAACATGACCCGTTGCACAAGAGGTGGCTCTCGTGGCCCTAATGGTCTAGTGGATAACGCTTTGACGTTTGAAACTATGGGCACTGGGTTCGAGCCTCGGTGGGAACATCAGTACTCACTGGGGAATGCAGACACGCCCAGTTGACGAGTTCTAAGTAGGACGAAATGCGCATCCTGGATTCCACTGCTAGTTACCATCCACCAATTCAATACCTGAATAGTGCTCTTGATTTTCAGTGGAAGGACCTAAGTTCGACTCCTGGTGGGTTTTGCGGACAGGCACTTTCGAATAGTCTCAAAATAGAACAAAACAGCTGTCCAGTACTCCTTGATTTTCAATGACTCTCCGACTGATGTCAGCTTGTGATTCAACTTGAGGTCCAAAAAGCAACACTAATTACATCCTCACTAGGTGACAAAGAAAGCGAAAGGGAACAATGTAAAAGACTTCACTTGATAATACATATCAAGACAAGGAATTAGAAGAAAAATCTGTGTTAAGAGAAACACAAAACTATAATCAGAGATTACCTTGAATCGTATTGCAATACATCAAAATAAGTGTATTCGGTACGACATATAAACAATTTCTTGTCAATTTACACTTTTTATAATTTAAACAATCAAAATTGATTGATGGAACTGAAATGTCAAGAGCTGGATTATTATGATTATTTATCTATTTTAAAGCTTGAAAGAATTACTTTTTACAAACAACAACCAAGTAACATACGTGCAGTATGTACTACTTATTCGTATCCATATAAGTAGTATATCAAATAACGATTACGATGAAGCAGTCATAACCTATGTGTCAATAAATATCATCTAACAAAGAAGAAACGTGAGAAGCTGAAAACGCTGAAAAGAATCAGATAAGAAATACTGACTAACTGACTGCTTTCAACATCGAACTTCACACAACAGTGAAGCAGCTCTAGTTGCCAGACTCCATGTAGCGCACAAAGCAAGCGACGACAATAAAGAGAGATCCAAAAGAGATAATAAACAGAAATATGACACAAATAGAATAGTAATATGGCAGAACAATAGAGTTTTATTGGATATGATAAATCACAAAGAGTGAATGCATCTGCGCCAGCCATTGAGGACGATTCTGAGCCATATCACCAACTGTCTGTTTCCAGCTTTCATTGATTCTTGCCATCACGAGGACCTCAACCAGTCAGAAAGCCTACACCTCACTACGTGGCCGGCTGGTTGGCTTAAACTAACTGTTGTGGATTTCATTGACTGATGAAGCCATGTTTTATTTTGACCACCACTAGTTCTTTTCCAACATGATCCATCCTATGTCAACTAACACTGCCCTTAGAAACAGTGATATGAGTAAGTTCCTGCTTATGGGGACTGGCGGTGAAGTCCAGGATGCGAATTTCACTATGTTCTTGAACTCTTCATCTGCATGTACTTGCATCCCCAATGAGTGGTGGTGTTTCCACTAAGATTTGAGCTCATTTTAAACAACAGAAAGCTATCTTTTAGGCCACTGACATATCAGAACGACATCATGTTAATATTCAGCTATCATCGAAGGATCTGTACTAGAAACCGACATGTTAACCAAGACCGAGCATTTCCATTTGAAGACAACTAATCACAAGGAAATTCAAATTAACCTAAGAACAATAAGGTTGATGATTATCTAAATATAGATTGTATTTTGTTCTAGGGAAAGATTTCACCTCTCACATTACCCGTTTTGTTCACTTCAACTCTTAACAACTAGTTAATAAACTTGAAACATTCTAAAGTAATAGCATTAATCCAAATAAATTCACCGATAAATTAGTTCAAAGAATTTTCATACCACTACCGATATTCTGATATACTGAATGTACTTTGAAGTGATGTCAAATCAATTTAAAGGGCATCTTCCCACCAAATCTCATTACTATGTATATATTGATCGTTATTCATGATCATTTACTTTGAAAATGTGATGCTCAGTTTAGTGGTTCATTTATTTATCTTATCAAAAATACATTTTTGGAACTTTAATCGATTAGCAATATATTAAGTACACTCGTCTTGAAATTCTTAGTCAACGATTCGATAATACTTTTGAAAAACATCAATTTTATCAAAACCAGTAGTTCTTTAGTCTTTGTGAATATATATATATATATAACCTGATGAAGAAGTTATAAAATTTGTTGAAATTTCTAAGGGACATCTTAATACACCATTCAATGCTTAATATAAATATGGTGGACAAATCACTTCTTTAATTACTCAAGCTGATTCACACAGACGCCCATGAACCGGCGGAGGATAAAACTCGGACAAGACATTCTGGGATATAGGAAAAACAATAAGATAAAAACTTACAAGGGATGCAAAGCGTTGTGGTGGACTGGATTATGCTGTCCACCATGCATGGGGAGCGACAAGACAAGAATATGTCGAACCGATAAGGAGACTCTAAAAGATTTGGAATTTACAGACGACTTACGTCAAAGGCCACACAAACTCGAATAATTACAGGTGAAGATCAAAAAGTTGGCAAAAGAGGCTGACGGTAAAGTCAGAACTTCAAGTGAACATAGAGAAAACAGGGGTAAAGAAAATAACCAACCAATAAGAGGCGCCAGTCACCATCGACGGAATAAATTTGAATGAGGTCACTTCCTTCACTTATCTTGGCAGCCAGTATCGTTTCAACTAGAGGAGACAGCACGG